GGCAAAATTACAACTGGGAACAGGAACGAGTGGATTGGGCAGGAGCGGCGGAGCAGAAACTAACTTAGGAAGAAGTTGTAGAGGGCACTGGGGACACGGGAAAATAGCTGAAGCAAATAGAAATCAAGAAATTGAAACAAGAAGGAAAAAACTTAAAGGGCCAATATTATGTGTTTCTCAGGCATATATTTAAATACTATACCATAATAAAGTATCTATGTCACCTTTAGTTATTAAAATGCTGTTTTTGTGTTTAAATAGAAAATAAACTTCTCATCACTTCCTATTCTAAACCCCTTGAAATTGGCCTCTGTCTCTTTAAGAACCACATTCGCTTCTGTCCCGCCCATTTCAGTGCGGGGGGTCGTGCTCTCGCAATGATGCAGTTTACCTGGCATCTGAAAATACATTTCCTCAAAGGTATTTTGAATCTGAAAAGAGCTTCACTGAGTGAGTAGTGGAGCTCAGCAGACAGTTTCACTTTCACTTTCAGTTTCACTCGTTTACGGTACTTTGTTACTGCCGAGAGCCTGCAGGAGTCATGGGCGGGTTGTGTGGGGTGGGGGTGGGGAGGTGTATTCCGTGATGAGGAAGTTCGGCTTAAAGACACGTCCCAGGAGTGTTTCTGGTCCCAAAAGGTGTTTCTGGTCCCCACCTGTCATTTTGCTCCTCATCATGGCTGCCTAAAAACGCTGCAGGATTTCTCAAACATGCATGAATGAGTCAAAGCAAGGCTTTGGGCATGTTTTTATGAGAGTATAACATGATAACATGATATAAAACTCAAAAAAGTTGATTTTACATGATATTGCCCCTTTAAAACAATGATCTTTACTCCACTGAAAAAGCTACAAAAAAAGTAACTCATAAAGACAGATCCTGGCACGCAAAGCTTGATGTCAACCATTATTTCCACTCATTTTGGTATAATACTAATACTGAAATACTTAAGCTCAATATTTGTCAAATGGACTAAGCTGTAGTTTATTATGTTTGGTAAGGTGAGTGGTTGTGACAGCTATGTGGTATTGGCTTACCTTCAGAACTTGATCAGTTGGTACATCCAATAATCATTTAAAGTTTTTTAAAAATTTGTCAATTGATTCACGAAGCCTTTTACTAACAATCAACCAGACAAAAACAGACAGGCAATAATAACACCAATGGCAGGGTAAGATTTTATGTTCTTTGAGCTACAGCAGCCACAGTTTGAGCGGCTGGCAGATAGGTGTTCTCTAAGATATGGTTTTATTGTTAAACCTGTCAGATAATGGTCTCCATTATTAGAGGCGACGTGGGACGTCTGAGTGATCTGATTGCAACTTTCATCATCAAACTGCACATCTTCAATATCCTCGTAATAGCAAAGCATTGTGGAGAGTTTCTTCTCACAGCTTATCATTATCATCTCCCCGCGATCTGAATTATTATTAGTGATTGATCCCCCAGTCACGTTCAGCCCGATCTTTTCATGCCAGCATCTGGATTTATTTGGTGCTACGCTGTAAAGCTACAGCTGCTCTGCCTGTTAGGACAATAAATTACTCCAATTAGGAGCTGAACAAAAGAAGCTGTGTGACACCACAGCCCACTGCCGTGCCTCTGCATCAGAATGCAATGAAATGAGGCCTTACCGAAACACCGACTCCATCTTTCTCTGATCAAAATGCCACTCTGTTCCTAGAAATATATGAAGTAAAAAAAAGTAAAATAAAAAAAAACAATTGCTTTGCATGGCTTGCATCATGTATCCCCAGCCCTGGGAGGTGCTGGTGTATAAATTAAATAGAAAAAGTGTCAGTGTTGGAAATCAATATGTGCTACATTGTGTAATTGCTGGGTGGATGATTAATTGGTGTTTGCATCATGAGTTGTGGATACATCTAGGTTTTCTGGCAGCCGCCTGCCATATCAATGGCACCGGTAATGAAGGCAATAATGAGGGACGGTTCAGGAGGATGCAGAATGGAGGGAACAAAGAGAACATCTGTGTCTCTCCATAGTTAGAGTGTAATTGTGACCATATTTCATTTTGCTCCGTGGAAGCTAGCCCCGCTACCCTTGCTGTCGACTTTCCAGAGGGAAGAGACATTTTACTTGCCACCGTAATGCATTTAGCATCTTTAGCAACACAGGTGGTCCGCCGTGCGGTGAGGAATGTAGGCCGGCAGCCTCTGTCATGCCCCCCCCTTACGTGTCGGCCTGGCCACGCCGTGCCTTTTGTTTCACCGCTCGCTGTGAGAATGCCATTAAGCCGGCTAAAGTTTGACAAGAAAAATGAAGAGTTCCATTTCCTGTGGCCTCGAGTGTCTTACTGAATAACGAGCGCGTTGCCCGGACCCTGCTTTGTCTCTCCTACCTCTCTGCCATCAGTGATGCTCCTCCCCACTAAGTTCCTATCCCCTGGGAGAGAGTTGTCTAGTCTATAATTTGCCTCTTGCCTCTGGAAAAAAAACCATCATGAGAAAAGCCCTGTAGGAGAATTAGATCAGTGAAGTGATTTTCTTTTCATTTCCTCACCACTGAGAATGAGGGGGTGATCTTTTTAAACCACATCTTTATGTGTGCATGTTTTATGTGTTTGTTAGCAAAATAACTCTTGAATTAATGGTTAAGTTTTAATGAAACTCAGAAATTAAGCATTGGAGGTTCATCTACAACTGATTGAATTTTAGAGGATCTTACATTGAAGATTGTTGCCACAACTAAGTGATCTTAGCAAACACTGAAATGACTATATGTCAGTCTGTTCTACAGATTTTGAGCTAAACTGTCATGTGGTAGTAGTTGACAGCCATCCCATTCAATAATTTGATCGGTACCAGATTAGAGAAGAGCTTTGTTTAAAACTTTGGTAATAACTGTTAGAATGGTGTTCTGTCATTTAGAAAAACACCTCATAAACCACTGGACATGTTTTCTCAGTATGATCAAAATGTAATGAATGAATGAACATACATAACTAATAAACATTTGGAGTCAACCCAACTCAAAATGGCTGCTACAGCTAATCAATCTTAGCCCATGAAAATGGCTATAATTATATATTAAATACAATATTTAATAATTATATTTTATATATTATATTATATTCAAGGATTTTCATTCCAAATGAGTACTACATGAGGAATGAAAGATAGATACTAAGGTCACAGTTGTCAGCAAAACATAAATAAATAAAATAAAATAAGCTATAAGAAGACAAAGTAAAAAGAACATAATGTGTTACACATGGAGTTTTTTATTTATTTTATTTATTTAATACTTATTTATCCAGGTAAACTGTTTGAGAGCCACTTCTCATTTACAAATAAGACCTGGCATGCACTGAGTGCATTGTAATATACAAACCTACATATTCAGCCATGGTAAAGTGATTGTAAATTTTAATCGTGATTAATCGTGATTAAAATTTTTAATCTATGCCCATGCAGCACTAAAATTAATCGGAGTTAACTCGATAAATTTCACATCCCAGTCAAATTTACACATACTGAGCCAGTGTTTGGTTTGATAGTAGCTTAAAAGTTGTTCATTATGTACAATAATTCATCAACAGATGATATAAAACCTCTAAGATCTGACAAAATGGTTATGACCAATAACACACGTTCTTAAATTACAAGTCGGACATGAACGGTGTTAAACACACTTTTCTTGTCAATTAGTTATTTTTTAAGGAACCCTCACCTGAGTCTTTAGTATAAAGGACGTACTGTCCTTTAATTGAGGATATATTTTGAGAGAGAAGATCACAAGATGACGGTACTATGTGTGCTGAAAAGCATGGCAGTGTTTTCCACATCTGTTATTAATCATCACAATACAGAAGCATTGAATCAGTGCTATTAGTGTTTGCCTGTTTTTTTTATGTTTGTCATTTCGTTTGAACTCCTTTCACAGTTTGAAAAAGCCAATTCAATAAATACATCAAAACCTCAAGGTAAAAAAAAACGATACTAAAAAGACTAAAATAGCATTTTGATTGTCTTTTTAACAAATTTTAAACAAACACAATTAAAGTTTTAAGATTTCTGAGGATTTTATAATAAAACATTCAACTAAGTTGTCAGTATATATGTCACGCAGTAAATTTTGGGCTGCCGAAACCATTAAAAACAAATAAAGAAAACCTCACAATTTCCACACTCTTTTCACTTCTTCAGTGGTTTTTAAAAATAATGAAAGAAGAAGCCATCTCTCTGTTGGCCCACCATCTGTGTGGAGAGCCATCAGGGTTGGGTGCTATGTAAGCCAAGTGGCAGAAGAGGGCGGGGCCATGGCTGCTCTGATTCCTGGCAGTGCAAACTGGTAAAATGTTGGCATTTTTAGCTCCAGTTATTAGAAAGTCATGTGGAAATTTTTTGGACAGCGGCCACAACAGTTGCTTAAAAGATTTTCCTGTTGGTTTTATTATTCTGAACATGTTAAAGTGCCCCCACCACAGCACAAGTGGATGTTGACCTCCTACAGCAAGCCATTAGGAAGAGCGAGGGAAGTCTGGCACTGATTCCTCACCCAGACATTTTGTTTGTGAGCAGTCTGACACAACTGACCTCCCCTTGGAGCGGCATGGTCATGACTGGAAGAAGCTCCCCGCTTATTATGGCAGGAGTGGTATGGTAATGGAAGACAAGTCTGCCTGGTGGCGATAACGCCGCAGGAGTGGATAGCCTATTATCCACCGCTGTGTGGTGGTAGTAATGTTGAGACAGAGGGTGTCCTATATGTTATGGTGATGATGCATTTTGAACGGGTAACGCTGTTATATATCAACAGATGATAATGGCAGGAGAGGACATCCTCCAGGGTACGGCCATAACGCAGAGAAAACAGTTCGGGCGGAATATTGTGCGCCGCGCGTCGATGTGGGTTTAGAGTGATAAATTAAGGGGAGTGGCGTGGTTTTTCTTTTCTCCCTGTTATAGTAACAGAAGGCCAGTCTGTGTGTTCAACGAGCACATATACCCAGAGAGAGAGGAAGACAATGAGGACCGTGTGTGTACATATGTGTGTACGTTTGACAAACAAGAGGCACACAGCAGAAAGAGAGCCTTAGTTAGCTGTCTGCTTGGCGCTCCGCCGCCCCTGTGATGCATGTTTATGGCCCATCATCTCCAGCCAATTACCTTGCCCCAGTGTAAAAGCGTGGCGCCTTCTCATCACAGCCATCAGAGTCTGAGTGTGAATACAAAGAGAGACAGTTACCGTTTCTGGACATCCTTGGCAAAGCGCTCTTTCCTCAAGGGGCTCGAAAGATTCATCCAAAACAGTAAGAGACCGTCTGCAGGAGTCTACGGCACTTTTGGGAATTCACAGCGTTTTTTTTATTTTATTTTTATTGTTTTTGTGCGTAAACCTTTGTGTGTATTAGTGCGGCGCTGCTTGTGTGATTTCGAAAAGTAGCTGTGAAAACTTTCTACATCTTATGCACTCTTTGTATTGTCACCATCTTGCGCAGTAAACATCCTTCACAGTTTGATTCACTGAGTGTGTGTGTGTCTGGTGTAAATGATGTGCGATCATGATGCACTGAGAAGTGAACAGCTGTTTAATAACCTTGGCGTGTTCGGCTCCTTTTCTCTGCCAGGTACAGCTGAAGCAGATGTGTTCATGTGCTCCATCCATGCCAACCTCTCCATCTAAATCTCACAAGGTAATCTTTTTTTCTTCTTCCTTTATTATCTGCTTCTTGCATGAGCTTCAGATGTGTGTTCTCGTACTCCGGCGCAGCTGCCTTGCCGAAAGAGGAAGTTGCCTTGCAGAGAAGTGACTTTCTAAAAGGTAAACAGCACCAAACTCACGGCTCAGCTGCGAAGAAGTCTAATTTGCTTTTAGCAGGGAAGTTGTTTTCAGCCCTCTTGACACTGAGAAGAGTGACCTTACACGAAGCAATGCTTAAAAGCTTCATGTTTGGATGATTTCTCTCTGAAATCAAAAGTCCTGCAAGGCAAGACAAGTGGTTTAAAAATATAAATAAATGTTTTAGTGTTTCCGTTTAAGCTTCATATCCACACAGTGGGACTCTTTGAAGCTGGGAGGCTGTGTTTGTTTTGGCTGGAAAAAGGGGTGCTCATGCCCAGTGGGGCTTATCAGGCACAGAAAATATTGACCGCCAACAGCTGCACTTTGGCAGAGATGGAGACAGAGTACTAGCATACAGTATGCAAGTAAAAGTACAGTTACACTATTGATAATTTACTCCAAGCCCAAGTAATGCTTGTATAGAAATCCTCTTAAGTCAAAGTAAATATCAGGCAATAAAATCTGCTTGAAGTAAGTTACTCAGTTAGATTTTTTTGTATTTTTTGCAACAAAAGAACAAAGGAGCTTAAAAAAATAACAAAAAAAACTCATAATTTAACATGAAGTTATTAAAAAACACATGTAAATATATTTAAAACACTTAGAGAGAATAAATTGTCATTTCAATTCAGGCCATGATGCTCAACTTATTGAATAATGAAAGAAATCACAAAACAGGAAGTAGAAAACCTCTAAAACTACCTGCCTCGTTCATAATGTTAGTATAGTTTATGCTTGTGGCTACAATAAAACAATTTGAGCTCACAGAGGAATGACACAGCATAAACATGAATTTTAAACACTGGACAGTTTGTGTCACATTTCTATTAGCAAAAACTTCAGTTTTTTATTCTGATTATCATGAGGTCCTGATTATCTAATTTGACTTTTGACATACTTTGTTTTACTTAGACCAGGTCCTGCCCACCTTTTAAATCTTTGACGTGTTTTTAAAATGTGATTGGGAGTTAATGATGCTCTCTGTTTATGGTTACATTATTTTATATTTAGCATAATTAATAAGTATTTAGCCTGCCACCTGACACCATTAACCAACATTAGCAAGTTCAGGCACTGACTAACGAGTTCAAGTCTGACTAATTTTACCAAAAAGCCTCCTATTAATTGATGAAAGCTTTGATTTATTTTTATTTTTTTACTTTTTTTGGAGGGGTGGGAGGCGGGCAAGATTTTTTGAGTTTTATATCATGTTATAGTGTAATGTCATTCATTCATCAAAAACATACCCAGAGTGTTACTTTGACTCATTCATGCATGTTTGAGAAATCCTTGAATTTCCTGTGGTAGCAACTTGGAGCTGCCTTAATATTTGCTGGTAAAAAAAACACCACCCATTTTGCACATAGCTCCTCCCCCCAAAGCATTGTTTGGAAATGTGCTGAAGTGGGAGTGTCAGAAACGGGGGTTCTCAAAGAGACAGAGGCCAGTTTTAAGGGATTAAGACAGACTATGATGCAATGTCTAATTTATTTTTGATTTATAGTGTTTTCATAACAAATGAAGCTAACATACACACTTGACTGTGGCATAGAATTGAATTTTGTGCCTGAAAAATACATAATACACCTCCCCCCAAACCTCTTGAACTTACAAATCAAACAAATTTGTTTTAAACCTCTCACCACAGGCTACAGGTCAGAGTCTCTTAGGAGAAACTCTACAGGGAAAACTCCTTTTTCACATCTTTTCATCACCTTTAGTCAAATCACAAGCTGACTGCTAGGAAACAGATCCAGTCCCTGCAGGTGTTATGGTCCACGTTTCCCCCACAGATTTTTATGCCTATTTTTTTTTACTTAGTAACATATGGAATTTCAAATGTACCTAAGTATAAAATCTGAAATAAAACATAGTGAAGTAAAAGTAGAAGTACAGATTGGATTAACTTCCCTTTTCACACTTGCACAGTCCAGGCAGCAGTTGCAAACCGGCAGTCATATTGACAAACACATTGCTCTTCTGTGCAGGACTGCATATCAAGCTTATGCTGTTTGCTTTCTTAGTTTATTGCAACCGAATGCTTTTGGAAGGCAGAACTGTATAAAAGGGTTGAAGCGTGATGAGGGGCAAAGAAAAATGGGCTCTTGTTTAGGTGAGATGCAAAAAACCCAGGAGCCTCTGAGTTTCCTTTAAATTGAGACTACAAAACAAACTGGCAGAGCAGCTGCTGAATGAGAATGTGTGTGTATTTGTATGTGTGTGAGTGAGTTTTTCTCAATATGCTGTAGCCTTTCACTCCCTAAAGTAGCCTGTGTAAAAATCTGCACAGAGTGGTTTGATTTGAGTGTTTACATGTCTATAACAGCCTTGAACAATGGTGACCCCATGGATTGTTTATGTAGTGTTATTGGACTATGCTATGATGAAGCTTACATTTTGTGTGATATTACCAAAAATAAAAGGTTTATATTATTTCAAATAACACTTCAACCAACTTAAACCATTGCATTATGTCATGCTCAGAGTATGTGCTGTAAATGACGCTTAGCTACTACCTATTGGCAAAAATTTGGTGATATGATACATATCACACATAGGTTGTGATGCAATATATTGCGATATAATGCGATACATTAGGCAAGACGATATATTGAGCTATATTGCCATTTTTTTCTCCAAAAATTCTACTTTTTAAAGAACTCAGTATGTTTTATATGTATTTTATTTGCTTCTATTTCTTTTTGCATCCATGTTTTCAATAGTTGGGGTAAATGTACCAGATAATAGAAAATTAATATTATTTATTATTAATAATAATTATCAATATACAGGGGTTGGATAATGAAACTGAAACACCTGTCATTTTAGTGTGGGAGGTTTCATGGCTAAATTGGACCAGCCTGGTGGCCAATCTTCATTAATTGTACATTGCACCAGTAAGAGTAGAGTGTGAAGGTTCAATTAGCAGGGTAAGAGCACAGTTTTGCTCATAATATTGCAATGCACACAACATTATGGGTGACATACCAGAGTTCAAAAGAGGACAAACTGTTGGTGCACGTCTTGCTGGTGCATCTGTGACCAAGAGTCTTTGTGATGTATCAAGAGCCACAGTATCCAGGGTAATGTCAGCATACCACCAAGAAGGACCAACCACATCCAACAGGATTAACTGTGGACACAAGAGGAAGCTGTCTGAAAGGAGTGTTCGGCTGCTAACCCGGATTGTATCCAAAAAACATAAAACCACGGCTGGCCAAATCATGGCAGAATTAAATGTGCACCTCAACTCTCCTGTTTCCACCAGAACTGTCTGTTGGGAGCTCCACAGGGTCAATATACACGGCCCGGCTACTGTAGCCAAAGCCAAACATTGGTTTCAATGGTGCAAGGAACGCAAATCTTGGGCTGTGGACAATGTGAAACATGTATTGTTCTCTGATGAGTCCACATTTACTGTTTTCCTCACATCCGGGAGAGTTAGGGTGTGGAGAAGCCCCAAAGAAGTGTACCACCCAGACTGTTGCATGCCCAGAGTGAAGCATGGGGGTGGATCAGTGATGGTTTGGGCTGCCATATCATGGCATTGCCTTGGCCCAATATATACTGTATGCTAGATGGGTGTGTCACTGCCAAGGACTACCAAACCATTCTGGCGGACTATGTGCATCCAGTGGTTCAAACATTGTATCCTGATGGTGGTGCTGTGTATCAGGATGACAATGCACCAATACACACAGCAAGACTGGTGAAAGATTGGTTGGATGAACATGAAAGTGAAGTTGAACATCTCCCATGGCCTGCACAGTCACCAGATCTAAATATTATTGAGCCACTGTGGGGTGTTTTGGAGGAGCGAGTCAAGAAACATTTTCCTCCACCAGCATCACATAGTGACCTGGCCACTATCCTGCAAGAAGACCACTGTGCAGGACTTGTGTATGTCATTCCCAAGACAAATTGATGCTGTATTGGCCACAAAAGGAGGACCTACACCATACTAACAAATTATTGTGGTCTAAAATCATGTGTTTCAGTTTCATTGTCCAACCCTGTACAATATATGTGTGGCAGCTTTTAGATTTTAATATCAATTATTATTATTATAAAAAAATCATCATTCAACATTCTAACAATAGCCTATATGTTGTGCTGAAGTTCAGTAAATGGATGACAGATTCAGCCAGCAGTACATGGTGCTAATGTGTACTCATAATGCTGATGTTTCAGCCACTCTCTGGCTCCTCAGGGGAGGAGCAGCCAAATGGCTGGCTGACTGCTGCCACCTAGAGGTTTGAGGCTAAACTACAACATGAAAATGAACTGTTAGCATGAAAGTTGACATTCTAAACCTTAATTAAAAACCGATACAGAACTTTAGAGAATCCATACAGTATTGGGAAATGAAATATCACGATATTTCAATGTATCAATATTTTCTTACACCCTTACTACTACCACTTCAAATTGTCCCCAACACTTTGTGCTAAAGTTTGAGTTAAATACCTTACCCAGTGAGTACATTGGGAAAGCACACAACCACAACACTTTTTAGCAGAGTAATTGTTAAATAAATTGACTGAATTAGTCCAGTTATGATGGCAGCCGTTCAGGAGTCCTGAAGGTTTGGCAAATGATTGATGATCAAAATCTATCTGGTGGTTCATAAGATATTTTGCTAACAGGAAAACATAGTTGATTTTTTTTACACAAAGAACTTCCAAAATCCATTAGCACAATATTTGTTTGTCAATTTTAGATCATCTATGAAACTGACTGAGTTTTATTCCTTTTTGTGTTTTTGAAGGTTTGTTGGCTGTGGCAGACATCTCGATTTTGTAGATCTTCATTCAGTAATTACTTAATGCAAGTTTCAATTGAACAGTTGGT